AGATTTTGGCTTCCCAGCCCCTAGAATAAGCCTTGAAAAGCCTTTCGATAGTCATAGGATACTGATTATTATAGGCGTTGCGATAGCCAAAATCCCCTCATTTAATCCCCATGCAACCCCATATTCTGCACTGTTCCGCATGATGTTCCACTTGGCCCGCTTGGCTCTCCATCACAGAGGTTGGGGCTACAAGACACTTCATGAAACGGAGCACGATGCGAACAGGTTCCTCTAGGCTTTGCAGAGTCGTCAGTTCATGTCCAAGCATTGGTGCTCACGGAATCCACGGTACACACGCGCAGGTACAACTCCCCCAGCACACTTGCATTAGGGTCACGGTCTTTCTGGGTCTCTGCTTCCTGGAATGTCCTGATTGTTGGATCTTCTTGAGATTTTTTCGGATTAAAGAATGCCGCCGGAATTCGTGAGGTTGTGGTTTTGACAATGAACACAAAAATGGTTAACGGACAAAGCTCTGCTGACCTGAATGTAGGTTCTAGGAATCATGTTGCTTCTGTATACTTAGCGTCATCTAGGATTTTTGCCAACAGTACACGTGAATGCTCAAGGCGATTGCTTTTTCCATCCAGCTCTCATTCCTTCCGAACCTTATTGCAAAAACACCCAAGACTCGGTAGAATGATACGAACCCTGACATGCCTCAAAATACCTAAAACCAAAACCCTATATCTCCCTGTATGTGCGAGAATCCTCCTATATGCCAAATAAATATGTGTGTATATATATAGAGAGAGAGAGATACATATATATATATATGTGTATATATATATATACACCCAAGAAGGGGCCATACGTTAAGACAAAAACGTTGAACCATCAGCCTTAAACACAACAAAACCTAGACCCTCAAAACAAAATCTTGAACCCCAAGCACCCCCTAAAGAAAAAAGTACGGGACAGGCTGCCACTGAAGCAAGTCCGAAACTCTAAGCCCTAAACCCAAAACCCTGAATCCCAAATCCTAAACCCTCAATCGTGATGTCTTCAAGAAGTTTAGGCCCACAGTACCTGGAAGCACTCAAAACTCATCCTGAGCTCTGGCACTCCTCCATGGCGCCTGGGCTCTTCACATCAATGTTTAGGCTTTCGAGTTTAGGGTTTGGGTCTTCGGTCTCGGGGGAGGGTTTAGGATTTACGGGCATAGGTGTTCGGGGTTCAGGGTTCAAGTTTCGGGTTGAACCTTTTGGATTTTAGTGGGTGGTGTAGCCTACCGAAAAGAAAACCAAAACCAACACCAACACGGCATTGGTACGTTTGACGAAGGGTAGGAGTTCAGGGTTATGATGCAATTGAGGGTCCAGGTTGCAAGTTGCAAGGTTCAAAGGCCTTGAGGCATATACCCCGTTGAAGTAAATGCATGTCCAAAAGCATAGGATCTTCAACAGCAAACACCAAACCCTGCAGATTGAAGCTCGAAGCAAATGCTATATGCATCCTTTATCAACCTCACCATATCCCACCAGCCAGTTCATAGTCACATCAATCTATATCGCCGCGACCACTCAGTAGAATTAGCGCGGATGCACGGAGTCATTGGAGACCCAGTGAGATGCAGAAGGGGTCCTTTAAGGGTAAAGGCTCTCCACTACATGACCGCCGCAGTATGGGCACCTCTCCCTACTTGTCGCCAAGAAATCAGCTGCAATGTGGTGGGTTGGTTTAGGTCCTTAGATTTACGGCTTGTGTCCTGTCCACGGGGCAGGGCAGGTAAGGTGAAGGCTCTACTGATGTCACACCCTACTTGAAAGACCAAGTGTACTGGCTCGTGCCGGACCTCTTGCCACATGCTTCAGGGTTTAGGGTTTAGGATAGTTCGGCTCAGTCCCGGGTTCCCAAGGTTGGGAAAATTAGTCTGCTGGCTGAGACTCAAGTGGTTTCAGGGCTTCCAGGTACTGAGTGATACCTGAGTAACACGCCCCTTGCCCTGAAGGAGATGCACCCAACCTCCTTGGCGCAAGCATAGCTGCAGGCATTTGGAGAGTGTTGACAGGGGTAGGCGCCTAATGCGCACAAACATTGTGCCAGACCGCCAATTAGCAACTTTGGCGAAAGATGCCTTTATAGTGATTGTAGTTGCCCTAGATACCCCTAAATCCCAAAACCTAAGCCCTAGACTTTGGGCCTGCAGTGCAGGCTTTACCTCAGGGCTCCTAGGACTATAGTGGGTGTTGTGTGCAAAACTTTGGGATTTGCGAGCGGCGTAAGGTTTGGGATCTGACTATGGGGGTGGAAGAGCGTTAGGGTAGGGTGTTGGGTTTAGGCTGAGTCAGCTGGATGCCAACAAAGATTATGTTATATGTCTCTTGTGAAATCCTTAAATTCTGCGTCGTACTTGAGGATTCCTGTACGCATGTCGTTGGCGGACAAGGGGTTGCCCAAGAGAGGTTTGTACTTGAGGTTTCGGGACATGCGGGGGAAAATTCGTGGAAGTCTCTAGCTCTGTAGGGATATGCAGGTTTACTGTCTACGCTGCCTGCTGACTTAGGATTTCTTCTGGAGGTTTTCGAAAAGGTGATAGGCTTCCATATTCAGAGTAGTGTACCATTGTTTACATGAGTACCGAGTGTGCAGGGCAGAAGCCAGGGCATTCCCTCCGAATCATCATGTGCTCGTATTTAACACGGCCAAGTCAGTACTCCGTTCTAAATCCTACGCAAAGCGCGAAGTTCAAGACCACGGTGCTCCAACTTTCGTATTAAGATCAGGCAGCATATCACTCTGGCTCCAACAAGTTAAGGGTCACGACAGCTTAACGGCTCAATTGGAGATTTCCTGCTGGTGAACTATTTCCTGAACCTAGCAGAGTTCTCCAGCGGATTTCGTTTGATGTTGCATCTGATGAGAACATGCCAGAGGAACGTCAGAAACTTGTGAAGTCCATAGGATGAGGCGTTTTAGGATTGACGGTGTTGTCGTGACATTTTTCAGGGGTTTCGGGTTCCAGAAGTGTTCCCTGCCTCACTGACAGGCCTGGGAGCAGCAGCGCTTTAAGACAAGGCATCACTGCACGACATGGGGAAAAAGGCCAGACGCTTCAGTTGCGGGTTGATTAAAGACGAACCTTCAAAAGCAAGCTTAAGTCTTAAGCACACGGTTCCTTAAGCGACCCCATTACCACAAGGGTCTTTGAGTGGTTTACAAAAATCGCGGTGCCTTCGTAGTGGCCTGATACTGAGTATTGTTCCTGCACCGAACCTTGACTGCAACCCCCAAAACCGAAATCCTACGCTTTGGAATTCCTCGAAGCTACTCTGGCTGCGACTGCGACCAGTTGCAGGGTGCTCCAGAAAACTAGAAGCCAGACATATGTCATAGGTTTTCCAAAACCCATGCGAGGCCCTAGAAAGTGTACAATTCTTTCCGGTGGGAGGATGGATGGAGTGGCTGCCCTTCCACACAACTCAAGGAACACTCTGTGATGTGTGTTTGGGGCTGGAAGTTTTGGGATAGGGGCTTCGCACCAGGGGTAGGAGTTGATTCCGCTGCTGATCCAGGCATCCAGCGTAGAGACGAAGATGTTTCACATTTGCACTCCCTTGGGGACACCTGCCCTGCCGTTAGGATCCTTGATTCAAGCGCGCTCGAAGATCTGAGGTGTATACACCTAAAAAACCCTGAACCAGCGCCCCTAAACGCTTGAAACCCTGAATTTTGCAAGGGCCCATGAGCCTTGACAAGCGCGAGCTGGCAGTTGTTTTTGTTTCAATATAGGGCTGTCGCTTCCTCGTAGGTCCTGCCCGGGATGGAGGAACTGGTGTTTGGGATCTTTCGGACGACGTACTCTTGTGACCAAGATTTCTGGCACCCATTACTCATGTTTGCTGGTGGTCAGGCCCTTTGGCCCGAGATTCAAGGTTATTGCCGCATCCGCATCATGTACATGCAACACAGCCATGCCGAGCCTGCAGGCAAAACTTCTCACACTTGTGACTTGCTTGGCCAGACTGCAGGGTTGCAGCTTACAGGTATTTCGTAAAGGTCGGGCCATTGGAGCTTGAGGTCTTGAAGCCTGTTAGAATTCCGACGTGCAGCGTTGGGCATCTGGAACCTAAGTCTTTGGTGATTTTCTCGCATGTGGACCCAAAGAGCAGCAGAAGACACCATGGACACACGTGCTTCTCACTTTGGTCCAATCAAGGAAAATCTTGTGATTCATTGTCCAGGCTTACCGGCTGTGAAGTGTCAAGTAAGTCTTTGATGCACCAGTACCCAGGCACGAAGAGTCATTTGAATGACTAGAACTCTGGTTCCTTCTGGAGCAGTTTCTGATGCTTCGAGCTGCAAACACCACATCAGCCTCCTCAAACAAACAGGCATCAGGTGTTTGAAAAATGTATAAAATCCCGGCACTGCGATATGGCGAGATACCGTTTAAGTTGAAGAGTTTTGTATATGAGGCCCCGATACACACACCAACGCACCTCACGTCTACCCTGCTTATGTCGTGGACCCTGAAGTCACGCCCTAGAGCCAAAACATCATAAGTGGGGAAGCATTCCAAGTCTCTCAGCCAGAGTCAGCGGCCGCCTTACCGTAAAGCGTCAGGAGAAGAACCAAGTCCGTAAGCCTTGAACATGGCATCCTATAGCCCCTATCCTTTGCTTTCCCTGCGCAGTTGATGGAACGAAAAAGAAAATTGCAGACCTAAAGCTCAAAGCCCTTAGAAGCCCTGCGATGTGCAAACATCCTAGGCGGCTTACATCCTAAACCTTGTTGTGTTTCAAAGGTTTGGCAGCTGGGCTAAGAAGGAGAGACTCCAAGGTAAGAACTTCGGTTCAGAGGGTTGTGCCAAATGAGGCCTCGACCAGAAATAACTTGCCGGATTCAAGTTCGTGCCAGTCTATGATCCAGCAGCATTTCAGGGCCAAGGGCATGGGATGCGAAACAAATCTCCTAACTCCTACTCACTTGAAACGCATGTCAAAGATTGTGGAGATTTACGCGCTAGTCACTAGCCCTATGGCCCGCATGAAGCCAAGGTACGTGTGGCAGGATTTTGGGCTGTCACTTCCTCTCCGGCATCCTCCATGGACCTTGAAGAGTCACCTGGTGTTTGGGGATGCTTCAAGATGAGGGACATCCACAGATGTCAAGAGTTCTGGGACTCTTCTCCAGACCCCGAAGAGGGACCACAGCTCTGAGGAACTTGATGCAATTTTGCATGGGTGAAAAAGTGAAGTGCCAGGTCTACGGCTTCAATGTTTTCGGTTGATCGTAGGATGGATGAACTTCATTGCAAAAAGTTTCCATAAGGGACTAAGACCTGAGCTGTGTAGAAATAGGGTCATACATGAAAACCAACTATATACCGCCCCCGGAGAAGTGCCATCCAGTACGTGATCGGTTAAGATCCTTCTGAATGGACGCTGGAGCTCAGTTCAATTGAGTCAAATCTTGCTGGATCGCTGGCTTTGAAGCGTCCGCAGGGTATCTCTGCATATTTGTGCCAAGAGCGCTTTGGATGTAGATGGAAAGTGGTACCCTTCAGACACTGGCGTGATCCTGTTAAACGCGTTTGTGTGGCTCTCAAGCAGGATTTGCTTTCAAGTCTGGAGCTTTCATGGTTCGTATATGGAAGCCGTATGTTTCAGGAGTTGTTGAGGTTGAACTGTACTCAGTCAACAGCGTATAGTTCAGAACTGGCCATAAAACTGGCCAAACAAAGAACATGGGAGGTGAATGAGGTCAACAGGTCTGTGCACACCTTCAGAGGCACCCCCATCGTGCTCTCATGACCCTTACACGAAAGATGTCCTCAAGCCTCCTAATTACTTATTACAGATGCCGAATACCTTTTGTGCTGCAACTTCTTGTGCTTGTTGTTTTCGCGATCTTCCTTAGCCTCAAGAACTTTGGTGGAGCAAAAAAAGCATTAACGACCTTCGCTAGGGCTTCGTGAATCGCTTAGGTCTTTGCAGTCAGCTGAATCATGCCTCTTGCAGAGTGTGGACAACCTGCCGTCTCATGCCTCCACTGCAGATGAAGATGCAGATGCCTCAACATGCAATGTTGGAGGCAACTCGCTGCCAATTTGTCCTATCACCAGTCATGTTGGCTTTACGTTGAAGAGGCATGTTCTGGCAGCTAAAGATTGATGGTTCTCGGGAATTTGACAAGTAAGGCCGCATGTCGGAAGCAGACTTCTGGCGCAACGCAGATTCCATCGCGGAAGGCTACCCAGAGGCGCATACTGGTCTCCCCCTATAGCAAGCAACAAATGCATCCTTTTTTTCGGTGACAAGTGACCTTGCACATGATGCGATACAGCAACCTTGAACCAAACCTGTGCTGTGCTAATAGAATTGAATTTGATTGCTACCTTGGGGCATACCAGAAGTATGTGCGGTTGCTTGCAATAAGCTTGATGCTGGGCCGCACTTGGCACCTTTTTGGCAGAGGACATGTTGACACGAAATGCTCTGCATGCTAAGATGCAGCTGTCCCTGGAACACATGTAAACGAATGAAAAGATTTTCCCCATCACATCGTCGCAGATGTTCAACGTTACTGACTGTTAGGGGAAGGATTTCGCAGAGCAGGACCATTATGTACCAACCAGGTGTGCAAACGCCCCAAACCTTCGTATGTCTCAAGAACCAAGGACCGGCGCACTCCCAGGAGGCAAGGATTGGAAGCTTGTCGGGGACTTTTATAGTATACTTGCTCTCCGCGACAACCTGCAGAGTCGAATTTGCAAGCTCTGGTTCCTACCCGTCACGCCCAGCAGCCTTTACAAACCAAGGAGGGGTCGCGAGCTGAACTACCATGAGCGGTTCCTGCAGCACTTGAAAGTCATGCTTGCACAGGCTTGCTCTCGAGAGCAGGAATACATAAGGAAAATGGCTCAAGAACTAGCAGGGTCTATTTGCTTGTGGATCGTTGTTTCAGAGTTGTTTGATGCTTCAAAACGCTTAGCTTGGAAAGACCCTGGCTGAATTTTGGGCGTTGCCGTGCGTACGAGGTTTTTCATACGGATAGTTGCTGATGGGTGCTTCTACTATATGAGCAATGGTCAATACTCGCGTATTAAGGACTCAGAGAAGGAATGCCGTGAGATGTAGGAATCGCACAAAAAGCCCCAAA